TCTTCATTCTCTACAGGGTTCCAAACCTTTTTTTCAACCCTCTACTCTAAAGTCGTTGTTGATCTGATCTTTTCTTTCTTGGGCGTGGGCGAGACAAAATCTTCTTAGTCTTCCGTTTTTTCGATGTCTTCTAAATTTCAAATAGTATTCAAGATCCTCTCTTTTCGATTATCTAATAAATCACTTAATGAAAGTAGATTATTTTTCCATTCCTTTCCAAAATTGCATAATCCCTTCACGAACCAAACATGAATCTTTCGATTCATTTGACTCTCACGCTCAATTACTTAATTACTAGATAAATTCTCATATCTTTTTTTATGAATGTTATGAGCCTATCTTCTCTTCTTTGTTCATATTCCAAAAAATATCGAAACTAATGTAAGACCAAATTTAAGATTTTGAGATGCAATAATTCCTTTTCTTCTTTCTTTTTCGTTTGGGCGGTTTTGTAGGGCACTTAAATCGAAAGTAGGTCCCGGTTTTCCAAGACCATTGATGGATCTAAGTGCTAAACACTTTGCTAAGCTATTTGATGAAGCATTTGGTTACAAACTGGAACCCCCATTTGATCCTTATAGGGATAGTCTCAATTTCATGTTGTCTTGCTATGCACTTCCATATGCTGCATTGGTTGGCTATGTTGGTACAAATTCCCATATCAAAGGCTATGAAACAAAAAGGGTAAGTCCTATACTATATATAATTAAGGCTAAAGATTTTGAAAGGCCATATTTTAAATTGTGTTATTATGAATGCAGCTTTTGGCAGGACTACTAGGGGTTGAATCAGGGCAAGATGCAATTATCAGAATGTATCTTTACGAGAGAGCTGGGAAAGTAGTATACCCATACAAACACACTGTGGCTGAGTTCACAATCCACATCTCTAATTTAAGAAACAGATTAGCAATGTGTGAAACTAAAGATGAAGGCTTGTTTGTGCCATGGCAACTTGGTGCAGAAAATCGGACAAGAACTAACATATTATCAGCCGATTGCGATTCGCTGTCTCAGTGGAGGAGTCCGGCGGAGATTCTTAGGATTGTTTATAATACTGGGAATGAGCATATTCGTGGTGGATTCTTTCCTCATGGTGCTAATGGCAACATTGCTAGAAATTTGTTAAAACTACAGTAACGGCGGCAGTGGCTACATTCAGGAAAATTAATTTACATGCATTTGCTATTTGTAATATCTAAAATAACAGCAAAAAAAGAGTTCATGTCAGATTTTCTTACTGTCCGAATATAAAGTTGGATTCCAGCAGTCAAAACACGTTACATTGGTGTCAAGTAGTGGTGACAAGATGGTTAAAAGAAAATAGTTATTCACCCATATTATTCATTAAAAAATAAGTTTGATAATAAACTTTTTAAAAGCAGGTCAAATATGGATAGAACCATAGAAAATGGATAACCAATGAATGACTAACGACTTTAACTTTACATTTGTAAAACATCAAATTGTGGGTTACTCAAGTTTGGGAGACTAAAGAATTCTCCCAAAAGTAATCAATCAAGTCATGGATAATATGGATATCCATATATATTATCCATCGGTTAACCCGTATTAAATAGGTCGGTCGAATAATTTATCCGTTTCTGCATTACCCGTTTTTCGACCCACCCATATCTGCCCCGCCCCGCCCATTTACCACCCTAGGGTAAAGAAATGGATTTTAACATCAGTATATAATAAAAACTACGGAAAAGGTTCAAATATACCCTTGTACTATACGAAATTGAGTACATTTGCCATTCGTTAATACTTTAGCTCAAATATGCCCTTACTGTCACATAGTTGGTCCATATATGCCCTTAGAGTTACACAGTTGGCTCATATATGCCCTTTTCGAAACGGAATCTACTCAAACTAATTAACTCTTTCGTTAATTGTATTAAAGTGTATTACAAACACTACTTCCTTTTTATTAGTACTTTTTTTTCTTTACCTTTCTCTTTTCTTTCTTCTTTTTTCTTTTCTTCTCTTTTTTCCCTTTTCTTTTTCCCTTATCTGATTTCCTCCATTACTGATGTCTTCTCCATTTTCGTCACCAATTTCGCTTGATAAAACTCATGAATTTCAATTACTAAGAAAATTCTCCCATAAGAATATTTTTATAGATCATATGTTTGTCAATTTTTTAATTTTTACTGAACATATATTTAGTTCTAAAAAATTTAACAAAGTAAGATTGAAATAATATTTATGTAACAAAAAACCCGAAAAATCCAACAAAACCAAACAATCCAAGCCAATATAATTGGTTTGGTTTGGTTTTGATAAAAACCGAACCAACTCGTTCCATGTACACCCCTAATTTACATAGTTAATAAAAAAAAATAGAAAATGTCCAGCTGAAAAAAGACTAACAACTCAAATTTATAACACTACAACTTGAACTCTAGGCTTTTAATCATTAAATTATCTTTCTGAAAACAATTTAAATATTTTGGTCTTTTTAGTATTGTTAAAGGTTGAGATATTTTTATTATTTTAAAGTTTAAACCATAATTTTTGGAACAATTTAATTTCGTTTATTTAGAGGGTCAGTGAAATTGGAACTTGATTACCTTATGGGAGACTTTTCTTAGTAATTGGAATTCATGAGTTTTTTCAAGTAAAATTGGTGACGAAAATGGAGAAAACATCAGTAATGGAGGAAACGGATAAGGGAGAAAGAAAAAGGAAAAAAAAAAGAGAAGAAAAGAAAAAAGAAGAAAGAAAAGAGTAAAGAAAAAAAAGTACTAATAAAAAGGAAATAATGTTTTTAATACACTTTAATACAATTAACGAAAGAGCTAATTAGTTTGGGTGAATTCCGTTTCGAAAAGGGCATATATGGGCCAACTGTGTAACTCTAAGAGCATATATGGACCAACTATGTGACGATAAGGACATATTTGAGCTAAGAAGGACAAATGTATTCAATTTCATATAATACAAGAACATATTTGGACCTTTGTCCTAAAAACTAACTCCGTTGTCATACCAAGCCTAAAGGTCGAATTGAAACTAATATCTGCTGATCATTAACTTGTTCAGGAATTCAGCTTGCTCAAGAATGCATTCCTACAATTCATCTTTTGTCATCCAGAAAAAATGGGACTTGGTCCAATGGCAGCAATATTAAGTACGGAAAAGGTCTAAAACTGTCACTCAACTTCCAAAAGAGGTCAATCTATGCCATCCATTAAAAAGTTGGTTCATCCATGCCACTAAGTTATATTTTTGGCTCATTCATGCCACTCAACTAACAGAAATGGCCTATCTATGCCATCCGTTTAAAGGTTGGTCTATTCATGTCACTGATGTTATACTTTTGGCTTATTTATGCAGTGTCTACTAATAGTTCCATTTTATGATTTTTCCGTAATAAGAATTAATTTTTCGACCCCGACTTTGCCACGTATCTTTATATTACTGGTTTTTCTTTACTTGACCCTATATTTCTTTTAACCCTGATTATGTATAATTAACCATGCTCAACCCGATAAAATCCAATTAGTCGTGATGACATATAACTCAACCCGCTAGGTAAGCCAATTAACAACAATCCAATTTAATGAGATTTTTTTAAAGACATATAAATGATAAAATAACTAAACCTTAATACATTTCCCACGGAGATTTTTAAGTCTTTAAAATAAATGATAAAATAACTTATTAAATCTTCGTGGGAAATGTATTTTAAAGACTTAAAAATCTCTGTGGGAAATGTATTAAGGTTAAGTTATTTTATCATTTATCTGTCTTTAAAAAAATCTCATTAAATTGGATAGTTGTTAATTGGCTTACCTAGCGGGTTGGGTTATGTGTCATCACGACTAGTTGGATTTTATCGGGTTGAGCATGATTAATTATACATAATCAGGGTTAAAAGAAATGTAGGGTCAAGTAAAGAAGAACTAGTAATATAAAGACACATGCCAAAGCCAGGGTCGAAAATTAAATTTTATTACAGAAAAACCATAAAATGGAACTGTTAGTAGACACTGCATAAATAGGCCAAAAGTATAATGTCAGTGGCATGAATGGACTAACCTTTAAACAGATGGCATAGATAGGCTATTTCTGTTAGTTGAATGATATGAATGAGCCAAAAGTATAACTTAGTGGCGTGAGTGAACCAACTTTTAAACGGATGACATAGATAAATTATTTTTTTAGTTGAGTGGCATGAATAAGCCAAAAGTATAATTTAGTGGCATGAATGAACTAACTTTTTAACGGATGACATAGATAGACAATTTCCGGGAGTTTAGTGGCATTTTTAGAGCTATTCCGTATTAAGTATTTACAATTAAATAAAATGGCAAACTCAGTAATATATGGTGCCTGAAAGTTAATCTTTCGACTTATTTTATTTGCTGAGAGACATGCACTAGTTAGATGATTTTATTTGTGATATATAAAAACATATGCGGCTTTACTAAGTAATTTCCTCAATTTGAGTTACCAATAAGAAATTAACTCCAAGTTTATGTGCACTTTAATAGTTTGATTGTCTAGCTTCTAACCTTATTCTGGCTCCAAAGTTGTGATGACTTACTAATTTAACTTGACTATTTATTTATAATATTTTTTGGTAAAAAAGTAAATAGATAAAAAGATTAAGCCCACCAAAAATTAATATCATTAAATTAAAATTAGCTTTCAGTAGTACTGACAAATCCGAATATTCAAAATCACCAATAGAGTACCTCTAACCTATAAATTATAATTAGCTTTCAATCAACTTGGATTGTATTTTAGGAGTAATAAAGTCCAATACAGTTAGTTAGCTTTGTGATAAATTTGTAATTCCCTTAGATTCCAGTAGATCTAATTGAGTATAAAATTTAATGCATCAAATTCAAATTGAATTATGTGAACTGAATTTCAAACTAAATTTGAGTTTGAACTTAAATTGTTTTCTTAGAAAATTATTACATTATTAAACTTTGAGAATTGAGATGAACAATATATCAACAAGTTCGAAGTTATATTAATCTAGTCAAAGATATCAATCACCTCATGTTAAGTTAGAGTGATAAATATTCCTTCCTAACGAGAGATTTTCGCAAATCTGAATTAGCGGACATACTGAGAACCAAAAGAATTTGGTAAACTCTATGTCAAAATAGAGCTCCTTAGTACGACAACGGAGAAAGCGCCGAAAAGAGAAACACCTCCACATATACGGAGAGGGAATGGTGACAATTGCGAGACAATGAACTCACAGCGGCATTTCGTCAAACACTTGATATACAGGACGAAAAACCGCCCTTTGCTCTCCATTGCTATCTCATTACAGCTCAGAATATACCTCCCATTCTCTTCATCGGCAACGCCCAACCCTACACCATTCCTAACTGATCGAAAGAAAAGCCTCTACACCTCGTTTTTCTGCACACTTGTCCATCTCTTCCTCCGCTGCCACCGCCTTTCAAGAGCCACGGAAGCTTTCTCTTCAATGAGAAATTACAATCTTGTCCCTGACCTTCCTCATTGGAACAGTCTCTTGCACCATTTCAATTCTGCCGGTCTGGTTGATCAGGTGATGGTCCTTTATTCTGATATGATCTCCTGTGGAGTGGCTCCCAATGTAGTCACTCGCAATATAGTCATACATTCGCTTTGCAAAATTGGAAAACTTGAAAAAGCCCTTAAATTAATCAGAGAGAACGAAAGTGACACCGTTACTTATAACACTTTGATATGGGGGTTCTGCAGACTTGGTTTTGTGGAAATGGGCTTTGGATTGGTGTCTGATATGGTAAAGAAAGGTATTTTCTTTGACACTATCACTTGTAATGTATTAATTAAGGGGTTTTGTGATAAGGGTCTTTTGCATAATGCTGAATTAGTGATGGAAATGTTGAGTGATAAAAATAGGGGTGTCTGTAAAGATGTTGTCGGTTTTAATACTCTAATTCATGGATATTGTAAGGCTGTTGAGATGAGTGGTGGTTTTGAGGTGATGAAGAGGATGAAAAAAGAAGGTTTATCACTGGATATTGTGACATATAATACTCTGATTGATGGTTTCGGCACAATGGGAGATTTTGATGCAACGGCAAAATGTATGATGGATGAGCTCTTGGACACGCGTGGAAGTAAAGTTGTTAGTTATGTTGATCATGAAGAAAAACATGAGTATGATGATGAAAATAAGGGCCTGGTAGTTGGAGACTTGGGTTTAGAACCAAATGCTATTACATATACCACACTGATTAGTAAATATGTTAGGTGGTTTCAATTTGAGAAAGCATTTGCTACATATGAAGAAATGACAAGGCGTGGCTTCTTCCCGGACATTGTTACTTATAATTCCCTTATATATGGCCTTTGTAAATGTGGGCGGTTCCACGAGGCCAAGTTACTTCTTGGTGAGATGAGAATAGTGGGTGTGGATCCTAATCACGTGACATACTCTATTTTTATTGATCGCATGTACAAAAATAGGGCTGACAAAGTTGCTGCTAACTTTCAAAGTCAAATAGTGATTAGAGGAATGTCTTTCGATGTTGTCTTGTTTACCTCTTTGATCGATGGGCTTTTTAAACTTGGCAAGGCCAGGGAGGCAAAGGACATGTTTCAGACACTCGTGAAGTTTAACATAGCTCCAAATCATATCACCTATACTGCATTGATTGATGGGCACTGCAAATCTGGTGACTTAAATAGTGTAGAGCTTTTGCTGCAACAAATGGAACAGAAATCTGTTTTACCAAACATTGTCACATTTTCTTCTGTAATTAATGGCTATGCCAAAAGTGGAATGATTGATGCAGCCGTGAAAATGATGAGGAAAATGATAAGCATGAATGTTACCCCTAATGTTTGTGCATATAATACCCTGATTGATGGCTGCTTTAAGGCTGGTAAACATGATATGGCTCTTACCCTGTATGAAGAAATGCAGTCAAATGGTGTTGAGGAAAATGAATTCTTGTTAGATACATTTGTGAATAATTTGAAAAAGCAGAGTAAAATGGATGAAGCAGAGAAATTTTTTATGGATATGGTATCTAAAGGTTTGTCACCTGATCATGTTAACTACACATCCTTGATGGATGGACTCTTTAAAAGAGGGAAGGAGTCAGCTGCTCTTCAATTGGTCCAAGAGATGAAAGAGAAAAAAATATCCTTTGATACAATTGCATGCAATGTACTGCTTAATGGATTATTGGGAATTGGCCAGTATGAGGTACAGTCTGTTTATGATGAAATTACGAAATTTGGTCTAATTCCAGATATTCAGACTTTCAATTCTATGATTAATGCTTACTGCAAAGAGGGGAAGCTGGAAAGTGCTGTCAAACTTTGGAGTGAAATGAAGAGTTGCGGAATAATGCCTAATTCAATCACTTGTAATACATTGGTGAAAGGACTTTGTGAAGTAGGTGATATTGAAAAAGCAGTGGATTTATTGAGTGAAATGGTGACAATTGGTTTTCAACCTTCACCAGCTATTCACAAAATTATTCTTGATGCTGCTTCAGGCCATAGAAAGGCGGATATAATCCTGAGAATGCATGAGAGACTTGTCAGCATGGGACTTAAGGCTGATCAGACAATTCATAACACTCTTATTGCTGTTTTATGCAGGCTAGGGATGACCAGAAAGGCAATGTCAGTACTAGAAAGCATGAGAGAAAAAGGATTTTCAGCTGACACTACCACTTATAATGCCTTCATACGTGGATATTGCAAAAGTTACCAATTTCAAAAAGTTTTTGCGACATATTCCGAGATGCTGGCTAAAGGAGTTCCTCCTAATGTTGCTACATACAACATTATATTAGCATCTCTGTCAGCTGTTGGACAGATGAAGGAAGCAACTGAATTGCTGAATGAAATGAAGGGGAGGGGCTTTGTCCCTAATGCTAATACATATGATATTTTGGTCTCTGGCCATGGGAAAATTGGAAATAAAAAGGAATCCATCAAACTTTATTGTGAGATGATTACAAAAGGTTTTGTTCCTCGCACTAGTACCTTTAATGTACTCATCTTTGACTTTGCAAAGGTGGGAAAGATGAGACAGGCTCAGGAACTAATGCATGAGATGCAAGTCAGAGGGGTTATACCAAATTCTTCAACATATGACATACTAATAGTTGGATGGTGCAAGCTATCAAAGAGTGTGGAGCTTGAAAGGTCATTAAAACTGTCATGCCGGGGTGAGGTAAGGAAATTACTTGAAGAGATGAAAGATAAAGGTTTCACTCCAAAAGAAACCACCCTTTGTTATATCAGTCCTGCCTTTTCGAAATCAGGAGAAAACAATGACACAGAATGGTGGTTAAGCAGATGGCACAAGACAAAGCAGAGTTGATCCCTTGAAAATCAAGATGTTTCTGAAGGATAGAATATCTTTATTTTTTGGTTTCTCTCTCTTGAGTTGAAACATAAGGTTAATGTGGATGAGAGAAGCGAGCTGATGGGAAGAGACAAAGCAAAATACCTGGAGAAACAAAAATGAGAAATCAGGACAACTGTATATGCTTTTCAAGAATTTTGTAAGTTTTTCTTTCCCCAGCGCTCGCGTGTGTGTGAGCGTTTTCCAACTCATTTTCTTCTATTCAATTGTATAGGAAGTCAAATTGTTTTTACATTCATTAGATTTAAGCTTTTCCGCTAATGCAATCAAATTACAATGATTTATTTTTAGACCAATAATTTACAAACTATACGAGTATACCATCAGTCCTAAATCATGTAGATGGTAAGTAGAATTCTTTCAAATTTGATAAAAATTACAAAAGATATTTATCAGTGTTGAATTTTCTTTTTCATTTTCCACACAAATTTGTGGCAACCTACAGTAGAAAATATGACGGTTAATTGGGGACTAAGGGTGTAATTTGGTATATGTGCTTTGCCAAAATAGTGCTAACAATGGCACCCAAGGGTGTGGCCTAGTGGTCAATGAAGTGGGTGAGAACCATAAGGTCTCAAGTTCAAATCCCAGCGGAGACAAATACTAGGTGATTTCTTCCCATCTATCCAAGCCTTGGTGGATAGAGTTACCTGGTACCTGTTGCTGGTGGGAGGTGGCAGGTATCCCGTGGAATTAGTCGAGGTGCGCGCAAGCTGGCCCGGACAC